CGGGAACAGACCCCCCCCTCTGGGGAGCCGACCTCCCGGAACGGATGGTATCTGCCATAAAAACTGGCCTTGACTCCCGACGGGGCTCGCTCACCCCCTCGTCTTCTGTGGCTATCCCCTTGCCGGTTATCAACCGGCGTCTTTTCCTTTCCGGCGGCTCCTCGCCCTCAGAAGTCTCCTCCACAGGCCATGGGGATGGCATTGAAGGAGTCGCTTCACTTGTGGACACCGCCACGGGCTGCGGTTGAGGAACCTCCAGAACGCCATCACTGGGCGAGCCACAGGGTATGTATCCGTCTTCAGAGTCAGTCCCCGCCCCAGGCGAGGTGACGACGTTCTTCTTCTTCTTCTTAGGGGCGCTCCGACCTGCCAACACGAATAAGTCAGGTAACAAGAACGTAGAAAACTCCCAAAACGTAGCCAAAGAATTACCTGACGGGTCGTATTGTTGAAGAAATGCAGCCCAGGTACGACATTCCTCCGCATAAGGTATTATTCTTTCCACCCATGATTTAATGTCATCAGTAAACTGGGGTGGGGAAGCCCTCGCTGCAAATAAAAAAGGGGGAAAAGCAAAGAAATCACAATGGCTGTATGGTCAAAAGCGCAAGCAGTCCTGAATTCTGCAGGTAGAAATACTTACGTTCTGGATTCCATCTTTCCGGGAACCCTTCGGGATTCGACACCAGGTGCTCCGTCCTGATGTAGAAATATTTACGCCAAAAGCGGCGGTTGGTCTTGTCATCGGCTTTAACAACCAAGCCCCTTGTGCCACGACATTTTAACTGCAGCATGGTACCCCTCAGGTAACCAGGGCTGAATAACTGTAAGAGGTGGTGGACCGAGACGCTGCACTCAGCCCTGGCCGCATAAGTGGTCATAATACGGCACACCTTCAAGGTGTAAGGAGTGATGTGAGCCGGACACACATTGTAAAAACGGCAAAGCTCCTCCATCAGAGGGTAGATTGGAAGATTGTAACCGATCAAGAACGGGTACTCATAGAATGTGCAATACCCAGGCCGGTGCACATTGGCGTAGTCCGTCCCGGCCGGAACCATTTCCACGTGGTCCGGAATATGGTGCGTCTCTCGAAGATCATCTAAGTGGGATTGTAATAAAACGCAGTGCTCCCAGGGAAGGTCTGGGCTTTTAGTTGGAAAATCCCTGCGAACATGCATCTCCTTCGGAAGGACGTCTACACTGAGAGGAACAAGGGCCTTCTCTGCCTTTTCCCCTTCACCACCGGAAGATGGCGGAACCCTAGACGGGGCATTATCTTTGGCCTTTTTACTACTCTGTCCACGTTTTTTCATGATTATACTACGTAAGAAACGAAGCACTGACGATAGGAAGTGTGGTTTCAACAGAAGTGGGAGAGTCCCTCACGAAATAACAGTTACAGAAAAGAAAGACAAAGGAGTAAATCAGAAAATGCTTTCCGAAGGTTTGAAAGTTGAATCGAATCGAACCTCTCTCCTACTTATAGGGATAAGTTGCGCAGAAATCGAAGAGTCATGATTTAAAACGTGCGCGGGGAACAAAAATGTCACATCATCCTCTGAACCACCTCGGGGGCAAATATAATAATGACGCATACAGGCGATGACGTCATTCCAAAAAGAAAGCCACGCGTCAGTGGCTCAACAACGTCATATATTTCACCTCATTCATATTGCCGCCCCTGGTCGAGGTTAAATTCTCCTAAGCCGAGGTTCGCATTTCCACCCATCGAAGACGCCCAGCGAATTCGTCTCCAACGAGCGAAAGGACTAACTGTATAGGGTCAAATTTGACCGTCAGCGTCTCTACGCCAGTGAGTACGCCCAGTGAGTGTACGCCGACTAACGTAGCGGGTACGACTCGGACGTGGGGACAAAAGCGACATCGTTTAGGACTCAGTGTCTTCACTAGGGAGACGTTACCTATTTTTGTAACTTTTTGATTATTTCGAGGAAGGTCTCTTATTATATAAGGGAGACCTTCACATTGTAAAGGGGGGGATTCTGGAATAATACAACTCTCTCATTTTCTGACTTTCTCTCTCTATCTCTGCCTCAAACGAACATATTCTCTTGAATTCATATTATCACTTTGCAATACTAGATCTACAACAATAACATCATCTTTACATCTCTAGGTCTATTATATTTGATTACGATTTACCCTTTTCTTACTTTTGATTGTTTTCTAGCTTACAAAGTATATTGTTAACTTTTGAGCCAAACAATCTTCAAATCCCGAAAACAGTTCTAGAATAGTTTTTGAAGTTTTCTACTCACAAAACTTCAAATCTTTTTTAAGTAAAATGAATATTCAAACGCAACTTCAACTTTCAAAAATTATTTTTCATCTCATCTTCATAAATTCTTTTATTTTTTAGTTTCAACCAAATCTATGTCCAAACGCTAGCTAAGATGGCATTCTCTGCCTCTTATATTTGTTACAAACTTCATTTCTACTCTCTGCTTAATTGGTGTTGTACTGTTGTTGAAGAAAAGTGCCATTCACTAACATGACATTAAGAACAAACAAGCTACCAGGAGCAGTAACAAATGTGGCCTTTAAGCTGCAGGTGTGTCCTTTTACTCGAAATATACATACAGTTGGAATTCTTTTGGAAAAAAAAAATATAAATATATATATTTGTACCATGCGTGCGCGCACACACATATTTTATTTTATTTTTTTAATTCGCTTTGATCCTCCTTTGGTAGAGCTATTGCTCTTTTGGTGACTTGATACCACAATCCTGGGGTTATAAGAGGAGGCGTTGACCATGGGCGAACTACATTATGATAAGGGGGTCATTTGACCACCTTCCGTTAGAAAATTACACTGCGTATATAGATAAAATATTAGGTTTTAAAGGTATATAACATGTATTGAACACCCTTTCTCGGGGATTTTTTTACTTCTTTCAAGTTTGAACACCCTTAAAAAAAATTCTGGCTTCGCCACTGGTGCTGACCATCTTAACAACCCAGCACAGAGTTCATACTCATTTTCACGAAGGAGTGGTGGGTGCAGTAATTCCTCGATCACCTATGACTATGAGATTTAGACATTTTTATAATGTAACTTGAGAATTTTAAAGTTTTTGCTGAGAATACGGGACTGATAAGGAAAAACTACTCTTACCAAGAACCTGAAAAGTACATCATAAGTTAATGCAACATGTGGACTCTGATCTCAAGATCACCAATCTTCATAGTATCCAACTTAAATCAATGATTATTATATCATGAAACTAGTCATACAAGTGTTTCTTGAAATTACTCCAATCATTTGTCTCTTGGCTATAATTTCGTCAAGATATCCTAAGTCTTTAACAGAGAAATTTATCGCTCTCATACTGAATCGGATGCCTAAATCAAATATCATAAAGAAGTTGGGAGCATTGAGAGGAACAAACAGGTTAATCTTCATATTCTGTATTCTTGCTCTTCTTATATGTATGGCTAGTTTTTCAAAAATTTATTCTCTCAGGTCATTTCTAGCTACAAATTCCTTCTGCAACTGTAACAATCGCATAAACTCTTGTATAATCGATCACCACGTCGATTTAACTCTAGATACTGTAATCCAGAAAATCCAACATGAAATTGACATTTTGCGAGAGCTACCAAATCATGCAACATCATTTTCTGGAAAACAAGCAGTTTTTCTTGCTGATATTTTAAATCTAGTTGAGTCAGTCCAGACATCACTACTACAAAATAGTGAATCTGGAGCAGTGTTACATTCCCTATCAAAACAAAGAGAACAATCCAATGGACCAGCTGAATATTTTTTGACAGAAGAAATCAGAAAATATGTGAGGATTAAACCAAACAGGTTGAAAAAACAAAACTTTATGGGTGCTAATGGTACATTCACTAGCATTGGTCATGCTTGTTTTTCTATGAAGACAGAGCTTGAAGACTACATGAATTATGATATCGGCGAAATGTGTAATGATGATTGGAGATTAGCACAGAAACTTATGGTTCATGGATGTGATCCATTACCAAGAAGAAGATGTTTTGCTAGAGCTCCTCAATTGTACAATAAACCATACCCTATAAATGAATCCCTTTGGAAATTACCTGATGACAAAAATGTTAGATGGAGTCAATACAAATGCAGAAATTTCACTTGTTTGGCTAGAAATTCAACTGCTAAAGGTTTCTTTAAATGCATAGATTGTTTCAATCTTACACACCATGAATCTCCAAGATGGATTATTCCTTCATATCAAGACTCGAACTCGAAAATGACAGCTGATATATTGATAACAGAAGTGCTTAATTTGAATCCAGGAGAGATCAGAATTGGACTGGATTTCAGTGTTGGCACAGGCACATTTGCTGCTAGAATGAGAGAACATAATGTCACTATAGTTTCTGCAACAATAAATCTTGGTGCACCATTTAACGAGATGATTGCTCTTAGGGGGCTAATTCCTCTTTACTTAACCATAAATCAGAGGCTACCATTTTTCGATAACACATTGGATTTGATTCACACGACGAGGTTTCTTGATGGCTGGATTGATTTTGTGTTGCTGGATTTTGTGTTGTATGATTTTGATAGAGTTTTGAGGCCTGGTGGACTTTTATGGATCGATAGCTTTTTCTGTTTGAAGGAAGAATTGCATGATTATTTAGAAGCATTCAAGATTCTGAGGTATAAGCAACAAAAGTGGCTTGTTGTTCCTAAACTGGATAAAGATGATAGTGAAGTGTTCTTCTCTGCTGTCCTAGAAAAACCACCTAGACCTTTCAGATGACTTTGTTGTATCATTGATGAATTATAGTTATTTATAATACAATATTGTTAGTAGCTATTGTTTTTTCGATTTTATATATTTGGGTCCAACACTAAAAAGATGATGAAGTAAAGTCAGCAATAATGCAACCAATAATTGTAGCGATCCAACCCGATATGTCTTTCTCTACCTGATGAATTTTTAGATACAATTGGCAATAATTTGCTTTGATCAATTTACTCATTTTACAAGTTAAAATAATTTTAAATTATTTTACTTTTTTTTCTGGAGAATTTAGTTCGAATTGAAAACATGAAGGATCGAAGCAGATTTAAGGGAAAATGTAAATGGCAAATCCTTGTTTTCAATGTCTAAGAGAGAACAAAAGGAAAATAATTTTTCTCTTCTTATTCGATAGTCAGCTCTTCTGTATAAAATGAAGCAGATACTCTAATTACAATTATGGCTGTCCAACGGGACCGGCCGGCCCGTCCCGTCCCGCGTTCCATCCCGCGTTCCGTCCCGGTCCCGTCCCGTCCCACTTCAAGTTAAACGGGATGGGCCAATGTTAAACGGGACACGGGATGGGACGGGACGGCCATTTCGTCCCGTTTGTCCCGTTTCGTTTCGTCCCGTCCCGCGTCCCACCTGATTTTTTTTTAAATCTAGCCGTTGGGCAATGGCTTAAATTGCAAAAATAGCCGTTGCCAACAACCAAAAACGGGCAAAACACCCCCTACCCTCCCCCCCCCCCCCCTCCCCCAAACTTTTAATATAACCCCTAAGTTTATTAAATTATACTTTGGCCCTATTTTCTACTATAAATACCCCCCATTCTTCTTCATTTTTTCCCACAAAAAATCAATCTTCTCTCTCAAATCTCTTACATTCTAATATTCTATCTATATTATTCTCTCAATTTTGTTACTATCAACTATCAAGTATCAACTATCAAGTGATAACTTTCAAGTTTTAAGTATTTGGGCAAATTTTTAGAGCAACTTTCAAGCTTCAAATTAATTTGCCAAGTATTTGGAGCAATATTTTGGGCAATTTCTTCAAGTTTCAATATCTAATCACGGTGCACTCTTTCCATCTCCTAATTTTAATATATAATTTTTGCGTATCATTTTAGTGCTTAATTTTTGTGTTTACTTTACGTGTTCTATTTTCGTATTTCATTTGTGTGTTTAATTTTTGTGTTAGCTTTTTAGTTTAATTTCGTATTTAAATTATGACACCTAAAAATATATTTGGCATTTTTAAAAAAAATAGGAAAGGTGAAAGTAGTAGTAATCCTAATCCTAGTCCTAATCCTAACCCTTCTCCTAGAATTAGGAAACATATAGATGAAATGACTCATGTTGATGAAACTTCATTTTTCCAACCCCCCGCATTTTATGATGTTAATGTCGGAGAACAACTAGATCATGAAACTTTAAAAAGACAATTTGGCAATGATATTTTTTTTGAGGACGAAGAAAATGAGGATGAAGAAAATGAGGAAGAAGAATTAGATGAAACACCCACTAGTCCCGCAACACAAGCTCCAACTTAGAGTAAATCTCGGTCTGGAGCTTTACCCCCTGTAAGGGGTAAGCCTAAGGCTGAAGGTCCCAAAATATCACTTGTATGGAAATTTTTTAAACATGATAAAGTCAATCATCGTGCTATATGTGAAAAATGTAAGCAACAATTTACATACACAACAAGTGGTGGGACGAGGGGTGTAACTAGACACTTAAGAAAGGATCACAAATCTTTATGGATACAAGCTAACATAGAAGCCGGAAAAATTATAGATCGTACCATCAGTACTGGAACTCCTAGTGGATCTGGTTCTAATCAAATTCAACAACAACTTAACCCTGCTTCTGGTCATGTTTTACGCTCCTATAACAAACATAGAGATCGTGAGAACTTAGCAAAAATGGTGGTTGTCTGTGACTTACTTTTTACTTTTCCTTCTCACCCTGCTTTTGTGCATTATATACAAGAAACTTATAACCCTGCTTTTCAAGGTTTTCCTAAGACCACGGTTAGAAATGATATTTTTAAATTTCAAACCGAATATCTTCAGTATATTCGTTGTGTATTTTTTTACTTAGATTGTAAAGTGTCTATCACATCTGATATAGGTCATAGTCCTAATGGTTGTGATTATTTAACTGTTACATATCATTGGGTTGATCATCACTGGAACATGCAAAAACGTATTATTGGTTATAAATTTGTTGATTCAAAACACACTGGAGAATATATTGCAACTACTGTTCTACAAATACTTGATTTTTATGGACTCATTGATAAAGTTTTAACTATCACCTTAGATAATGCTTCTGCTAACACAACCGCAGCAAATAGCTTAAAATCTAGACTTTGTCCAATTAATCTAGCAATTTTTCATGTTAGATGTGCATGCAATATTTTTAACTTGGTTGTAAAAGATGGTCTTAATTTATTTTCTTATGCTTGTAGTAAAATACAACATGCTTGTGGCTATATTTTTCGTGCTAATAAAGCGAGTAGAATTCGTGAATTTGCTCAACAATGTGCTAGTACTAACCTTCCATTTAGAAAAGTTCCAAAAGATGTTTGTACTAGGTGGAATTCTACTTATGAAATGCTTAAAGTTGCTTATGATTATCGGGTGCCTATCCAAAAGGTATTTAATATGCATAATGGTATCCCCGCTGATCAAATTGTTGATTCTGATTGGGATGAGATCAAAGAGCTTACTAAATTTTTAGAAATTTTTTATTATGCTACAAAATAATTTTCTGGTATATATTATCCTACTGTTACACAAATATTATGGTATATTTGTGGAATTTCTGTTGTATTTGGTAAGTATAAAACAAATCCAACTTATGCACCGGCCATTAGTGAAATGATTTCAAAATTTAAAAAGTATTTTTTCCCTATTCCCGAAGTTTATTTAATTTCTACTCTACTTAACCCATCTTTAAAACTAAGAGGTGCAAAGGGACTTGTTCGTAAATTTTTTGAGAATTTAGCAATTCAAGAAAATGAACAACCATCTCTCGAAGACTGCCAAGCTAGCATATATTCTTATGCTAGATCAATGTTTGATAAATATAAATCTGTGGATACAACAGGTTGTGAAACTGCTCCTTCTACTTCTAAGTCTAGAGTAGAAGTTTTATGGGAAGATATGGATGATATAACAGGTTTTGATTCTTCTATTGATGATGAACTTGATTCTTATCTTAATCAAGGATTGGAAAGTATTAAAGACGAAGAAGGCAAGGAACAACTTTTGTCATGGTGGAGGGAGCGTGGCAAGGCTCAACACTTTCAATAATGGCCCTAGATATCCTGGCAATTCAAGCATCATCAGTAGCATCGGAGAGTGCTTTTAGTGCGGCAAGATTTCAAATTGGAGATCATAGACATGCATTAGCGGAGGACAGTCTAGAGATTTCCGTATTATTCAGAGATTGGATTAATTCAGAAAGAAGAAATCTTGGTTTAGAAAAATTAACCACTAGGGAAGAAGAAGAATACAATGAGATACTTAGCACTGGGAGCGATGACGGCATGGAGCTCATGGAACATCAATCAACATTGTCAATTCCAGCAGAATGTCCGAGAAATATTATTGATAAGTTACAAAGAAGCTATATAGGAGCTTACAAATATTAGTATGATAATTTGTAATTGGCTACTAAGAGGTCTAGTTCAAACAGAACCCTTCCTAGAAGGTGGCTGCGTAGATTAGGTGCTCTTCAAAAGAATTATATTTGTATTTGAGATTTGAAAGTTCTATTAATAAAATAAAAGGCTTTAAGCGTTGAATTTTTTTTATGAATTGTCTTAGTTGCTTAATACTTTGAAATTATATTAAATAAATTATAACTCTATTATAAATTTATAATTACTAGAATATTTCATTACAAGTCTTTTATTTTAATATTTTATAATTCTTTACTTAGTTTTCTAATTTTTGTTTTAACATTTAAGTTTATTAAATAAGTCAAAAATCTAGCCGTTGCAAACTTTAAAAACATAGTAATTTTCAAAAAACTAGAAGTTTTTAAAAAAAATACACTTAAGGCCCACGAACCCGTCCCGTCCCATCCCGTTTGTTAGCAGGACGGGATTGGCCGACCGTTTCGTCCCGTTTGTCCCGTCCTGTTTCGTCCCGTCCCGCCACCGTCCCGCTTAAATGTCGTCCCGTCCCGTCCCGTTAATTTCATCCCACCCGTCCAGTACCGCTGGACAGCCATAATTACAATATTGGACCGAGTCTTATTAAGTTACAATAGTCCAATACTAATGTGTGTCAGGTAGGCTTTAGTTGGGCCAGTTCAACTCTAGTGGGCTTCCTTGATAGTGGACTGGGCTGCTGCACAACCTGTGATCCAACACACACACCCCCCCCCCCAAGCTGGAAGGGGAGGCTATTCCAAGCTTAGAAATAAAAGCCTGCCAAAGAACACCCAAAGAGGCTTAGTGAAAATATCAGCAAGCTGAGAAGAGGTAGAGATGGAGAGAAGATTGATAACACTAGACTTCAAAGAGTCTTGGACAAAGTGACAATCAACTTCAATGTGTTTAGTCCGTTCATGAAACACCGAATTCTTGGCTATATGTATAGCTGATTGGTTGTCACAAAAAACATAAACATGCATCAAGTTAGTGACACCAAGATCAGAAAGAAGCCTAAGAATCCAAACCACCTCTGCGACGAGCAATCGGAGTGCCCAGTATTCGGCTTCAGCAGAGGAAAGAGAAATAGTTGACTGCTTTTTAGACTTCCAGGACACAGGGCAGCCACCAAGAAATAGGACAAAGCCACTAACAGACTTTCTGGAGTCGGCACAACTTGCCCAATGAGAATCACAGTACCCCTTGAGAGCAAAACCGGAATAGTTAGACAATAACAAGCCCAAAGAAGAAGTACCAGATAAGTACCTAAGAACATTATAGGTTGCTTCAAATGCGACAATCTAGGAGCAGACATAAATTGGCTCAAGTGATGAACCGTGAAGGAAATGTCATGCTGGGTATGTTGTAAGAAATTCAACTTACCCACCAACCGTCTATATAATGAA